TGTGCCATTGTAACTCCCTGAGAATTAAATATTAGATATTCACTGACACCCTTGTAGACTGCTGATTAGATGAAACTGTTAAGTCAGATTTAAGGCTGGAATTGAATCAAGGCCATTGGTTTTGTCAGAAATCAGGAGAATGAGCACCTTCCTCATAATAAATGGTAATGGAGACCAAAGCCAAATTTAGAGATGAGAGAGGAAAAGTATATTCCCTAACTTAATACCCTTAGCTAATGCAATGTCTTTATCAAAGTTTTTTTGGAGTAAAACCAGCCTCTGAATCTTTTCCTCACCGTATGGCTCAGCCTGATGGGGATCTCAAGGGTTAACAGCACAACTGCTAGTCCCCTTTGTATATATCTGTATGACCATAAGTAATGCATATTTTGAGCAATTGCATCCAAAATGAACAGCTCTGTGAGAGGAGATGGATCACTTACAGAGCAGAACAGGAAGAGCACTCAGCTGTCTTCCAAAAGCATGGGGTGGTTATTTTCTAGGTCCTAGTGCCATTCCCAGAGTATCCCGAGGCTCCGACACTTAATCAGCATGATTATCATCGCACAAATGCTGCCAGAGAGTTCGATTTGCACAGTTACTTCTTCACTAAATGAATAACCTTTCCAAAACCCCGTGATGTTGGAGCCTCTGTCATAATTCTTCTGCATTTTGGAAGGCTTTCCTGCCTGCTTGGGCTTTGGCGCTTGTGTAAAGAGGTGTAATAAGAAAAGTTACTCACAGGAGAGTGTAAGATAAAGCAGGCAGCCCGGCCTGATTTAGTGAAGGCCTCATCCTCCTGGGGCTGAAGCCCGGCCACGGTGTGAGCAGATGCAGCAGCTCCTATTGCTATTTCAGGGGGATCTGATCTGCTTAGAACAGGGGAGGGATTTTATTCCGGGTGAGCAGATGTTTTGTCAAAGTGGTGTAAGCTGCAGGCAACTGTGCTGGGTCTGTATATTTTCTTTGTCCTTGGATCCCAGTGGGTGCATCGCTGCTGCCTTGTAACAGCTTCCCTTGTTGGCATGATCAAGGCCAAACTCTGCGTGAGTCTGCCCTGCCTCGGCCCCAGAAGGTCCCTGCTGGTGTGACAACAGCCCAGGCTCAGATTTATGGGGGTTTCTCAGAAGGGACCTCCCAAAGCAGCTCTTCGGGCACAGTGAACAACAAACAACCCTTGAGGGACTCGGCTGAGCCCCCCGGTCTTGGTTTTGTAGCACAGGCTCCCTTTGCCCCTCTTTGGAGTTGGCATGGGGAAGCTCAGCTGCCCTCCAGAACCAGGGTCAAGCCCCAGGTCACTCTGGTGCTTTTTGCTCACCCCCTCTAGAGCCCCACCTCTGCTGTAAGGGCTCCACAAGCCACGTGTAAATGTCTGTGCCTTTCCTCTGTGCCTCAGCTTTCAAATTATGCTTGAATGCCACCAGAACATAGCATTGAGCCTTCTAAGGAGCCCAGGGTCCTCTCTCTCCCTTTACAGCCTTGGTTCTTGGCTTCTCCTCTGAATCACAAAACGTCCCTTTCCCTGCAGCCAACTCACTGCTCTGTCTCCCTTTTCTTCCCCATTTCTCTCCCTCTTTCTCTTAAATAGTTGGCAGGAGGCCCTTTCTTTCATAACTTCCAGTCGTTTTTGCCAGGTGACCCTGTGAGTAATCTCCCCCAACAAATAAGCAAAGGCCTGGTTAAACGACCACTTCTGGCAGGAAGAATATTCCTGCTTTGAACCCCCTCGTTATTTTCTCCAGTGGGTCCCTCAGGCAAACAACCCGAAATGTGGATCACCCCGTACCCACACCAGGCACAGCTCTGTGGCTCACAGTTCTTATTCCCCACACCAGTAAATGGCTCTGGGAAGGAGTTAACCTCTTGAGGCCAGGAAAAAGGCAGCAGAAGACTTAATAGCTTCAGTGATTCACACACCACATTCCATGAAGTGGCACAGCAATTGCCTGTACACCCCAGAGTCACGAACACCAATTTTTTTTTTTTTTTTGGTCAAGTTTCACCCAACAGGCATTTTAAATGTCATGGTTTATATCCTAGATGAATTTCACTTGTGAGTGTTGTTGCTAAGACAGACCATATTGTGGCATCAATGTTTAATCAGGCTGTTCCCTCAAACTCAACAGGGAGTTCTGCCTGAGATCTGCTGGTGGTATAAATCAAGTTTTACTGTTAGCAATTTTTATTACTCACTTTATGCCTCTCCATGAAAAGGAAAAAAAGATAAAAGGGAGGGAGAGAGCTTAACTGAAAAATTAAATACATATTACAACCTTTCTGATTAAATATGTCTACTTTCTATCCGTGAAAGTGCAGCATCAGCCCCCCTTGGAATTCAGTTTGTTTTCCCTCCCAGCTCTTAGATGCTTGAATTTGGTATTCCTGACACTTGCCCAGCAAGGATCTGGATGCTTGACCCTGAAGCTGAGTGGACCATGAGTGGGTTGGGGTATCAGGAGACTGCTCCTTCACCATCATCTTTCTGACCATGTCATGCCAGTATCCACTCGATTTTCCAGGACAAAGAAAACTCCCCGAATCTCCCAGCCCCACCTAACCCTTTGTCCTGGACGTGGTTCAAGTCTGCACAGAGTGTATCGGTGCATTGTTTTCGTGGGCAGCTGGAAAACCTCAGGAATGAATGGAAACAGACGGTTACAGATCAGCTAAATTGCAGTCTCTCCTCTCAGCAGGAAAGGGTTTGAGTCAGGGTGCCTTCCCAAAACAAGAGTGGGATGAATGCTGCTGGGAACTCATGGGGCAGGTTAAAAGGAGAACAGCTGAAAAGGAGAACAGTCACCTTACCTGTAGTGCTGGTATCAGTGCCCAGCATCAGGCTCCCTCACGCTTCCTTTTTGTCCCTCCCCAACAGAACATCAGTCACCACCTGTCCTTTGCACTTTGTGCCATCGATTTCAGCAGCATTTTGCCAGGCACTGGCACTGTGGGCCCTGTGATTCTGCTGCTGTCCCACCTCCATTCAGCCCAAAAGCAACACGAGACCGTGCCCTCTGGTGAGCCCGAACTCACACAAACAGAGGTAGAGGTTGTTAACGGTTTCCCTGAGCAACCTTGTGTTCGATCAGGTAGAAGTAAAATCCAGTCCTGGATGAGAGCATTTGAGAAGGCAGAGCCACATATCTAGTGAGGTGCATGAGAAATGCACCTTAAAAATAACATGAAGTGCCAAAAAGAAGAACAGAATAAGTGCGTCACGGGAATATTTTCTCCGTGAATCCAACTTGAGATACTACATTTGAGCAGTTCAAGCTTCAGAGGTGCTTGCAATCCTTGTGGTGGGCTGAATGTTTGCCCTGGTGTCCTCTTCACCAAGGATTGCTGCAGTATTTGGTGGAGAAAATGATGAAGAACAGCTCTGGCAGAGGCACAGAGGAGGGCAAAAGCTCTGACATCCCTCGGGATGGTACTATTTACTTCCACCACCACCTACACCTGCCTTTCTCAGACTCCTGGAAATGGTGTGCAGTTTCTTGTGGTAGCTGTGTCAGGAGCAGGGGCAGTCTGGCCCTGGAAGCCTAGTACAAGGCTCAGTCAAGGGATTATTCTGTTTTGGTCCGTGGGTTTGGTATCAGTTGTTCCTGCAACTCTCTTAGCAGCAATGAGGTGTAAGAGATCGTGAATGCTTCGCCCTTACCCAAGGTAATACAGTGATTTGGCTCTGCTAACAATGAGGCAGAAAAACAACTGAGAAATCTTCCAGAGGCCAGATGTGAATGCAATTGTTAAAATACTGCCTGGGTCACTGGCTGCAACTTCAGCATTTTTAGAAATTTGTTTTTGTACCAATGTCAAAGGCACTGGGGCTCTCTGCTTGCATCAGTACAAATCTGGATTAATGCAGTTGAAGCCAGCAGAGTTGTGTCCGTGCAAAAGCAGTTAAAACGGGCTCAGAATCAGACCCAGAGAGTTACCCTTGTGTCACTTAGTAAGACATATTTCTTTTGGCTTCCATTTAGATTTGGTCCTTAAGGAGCCTGTCATAAGAGATATATGGTCTGGGCAAGAGGCCAACTTACCGTCTGGAAGAAACAGCAGGGCTCCCATCGAAACAGGGAACAGGGTAAAATTAGCTTTTGACTATTATTTTGTAATTTTGTAAATATTTGTGATTTTGAATTACGCAGTAAAGTTCCCACTACGCCGTGACATGATGGAACTGCCTTGTCATCTCCAGACTATGGGGGAGGAAACCTATTTACAGTGATCTCTGGAACAGCTGCAACGAGATCTTACACTTCCTGGCATGTCACAGCTTAAAAATTTCTAGGAAATTGCATCTGCTTTCATAGCCAGAGAGATAAGATGCCTTCCTAGCAGTGCTTTTAAGCCATCGCTTCATCACAGCAAAAAGTTAATGCAATCCTCTCCCTCCTACTCCAAGTACTCAGCTAAATTCCCACTGCTACCAGGGACTGACATTGGGATAGCTACTAAGACCCCATTTATATCATCCAGCAACATTACCATCACCTATCCATTCATTAGGTCATTGGAAACCGGTTGGTTTTCCAGATCCCAGGCTTTCAGACTCCTAATATTGATCAGGAGCAGTCCATCCACCCAGGTGAAGCAGCAGTGGACAGCAGAGATGTGGATGGGTTTTGCAGGTGGGTGTTATTGTTACAGCAGTGTAAGAAAATCAGAAAACCAAGTATTTTCAGAAATAGCTGTTTTGGAAATACTACTTCAGATCTGATTGAAAACCAAAAGAATGTTACATATAGTTACAGCAAAATCTAGTGTGAGTGACATTTTCCTACCATCTTTCATCCTTAAGGGGAATTTTGCTAAATGTTTGTACCTAAACTAGACTTCTGAGCACTCTGGGGACTGTTAAGCTGCAAAGGATTCACATGTAAAGGAGGGAAGGAAGAACTGTGTTGCCTGCAAAAGAGGCCAGTTGCAGAGGGGGCAGAAGGAGCTGCGATGCTGAGTTCAGTCAAGCAGCTTGGGTCTGCAGTCCAAAAGGATAAGTAAAGATGGTGTGCAGTGCTGCCCAGAGCTTTTGGATGACCCTGGGACAACGCATGAAACGCCAAGGTAAGGTAGATGGGGAGGGTCTGCACATCTCCCAAAACAGATTTCGGTGTTTCCTTGTACAATTACCAATACTACAGCTGTCTGTGTACCTGCACATGTGCTTCCCCAGTTCTGCTCCCAGCGGTGGATCAAACAAACCCTTGCTTTCAAACATTTCTGCTCCTCCACTCTCACTTCAAACTAAGGCTGCATGTGGTTGCATTTTGATAATTGAACCCATGTGAACCTAATTTGCCTTCAACAATGCCAACTCTCAATGCAAGTGAAGCCACTTAGATGCTGACCACTTCTTGAACTAAATCAAACCAGTAGAAGGTACATTTAAATCTATTCAAGGTTAAATTTTGTTTATGTGGTACCAGTCTGACTGAAGTGATTTTAAAATCAAATTTAACCTTACCAGTAAAATTTCCTTAGGTTTGCTCAGTGAGGGACCTTGGCTCTGGAGACAGCACTGTAACATGCTTTTGAGTCTAACAGTTCTCATTGGCTATAATGATGTGGTTGAATCAAAAAAACCCCAACCAAGGCTGGATGTCCATGCTACTATTGATCTTTCAGACCCTTTACAGTAGTTCTAAGAGAGTTAGTTGGCTTTTGCAATTTTCTGAGGTGAGGAAAGGGGTAATACTTAATTATCAGCAATTTTGACGGTGATTGAGCTTGACAGCCTGAAGCAGAGCTATAGGATGAAAGTGAACTGACGCTGGCAGCTGGAAAGGCCCTTCTGTAGGGAATGCGGAGGGACTGGGATGGTGGAAGGGGTTAATTCCCTAAGAAAGATAATTTGCATTGCTGCACACTTTATTCTTTTGTTTTTGGTCGAGCTCTCTGGCTCTGCTTCTTTGACAGAACAAAGAGCCTTTGTTGCCCATCAAAGACCACTGCAATCCATCCAGATACCCAAGGCCCCAGGAGGGGGAGGCGAACATGGAGGAGCTGCCTGAGTTCCTTCCTCCACAAACAACATCAATAAAATCATTGGAAGCATTTGCATCGTTACTGAAATAGTTTCGAGGGAAATGTTCTTCAGCAGTTGTATCAGTGCAGATGGTGATGTAAAGGCTGACTTAGTATTCTCTCAGGCCTGGGAGCCTATGCTGCGTGTCTGAAGGTCTGTCAGGTGAGTCAAAAAACAGATAATTTGGGATGAAGTTGCTCGTAGAGGCTTTTGCACCTCACCACTGCTGTTTTGTGGGGAGGAATCAAAGAATCTCCCTGCACTGTGTTGTCTCTGGATCAGAGATATGAGAACAGGTTGAACCTCTGGTGGAATGAAGGTATCTTTTAAAGATAAGGTCTCAATTTGTTCTACTTAATTGGAGAGAAGTGGGAGCCTCCTATGTTGGCATGGTCTGTGGTGAAGGACAGAGGCACCTCTCTACCCTTCCAGTGTAGCTCATCTGAACTCTATATCCTTTGTTTACTTCTGCTGACTGCCAAAAGAGCTTAAACTTCACTCCAAACTCAGCAATAGCCACTGGATCCTGCAAATCGTGTACTGTGAATCCAGCCCTGGACATCTAGAAGTCTTCTTAAGGATTTATAATTATCTAGACGTTACAGGGGCAGCTCATGCATCTGTGCATGTACACATCTGTATATATTTACACAGCTAATAGAAAATTGTTGGAGAATGACAAGTGAAATGCATACCAGCAACCCTGAGTTTCATACTTGCACATCCTTGGGTGTCTGGATGAAGGAGGATTCATTACAGGATTTGGGCCCTGAGGAGCAAAATCAAACAGCAGATAACTTCCTTTTACTTTCTTCATTGTCCCACAATTGGAAAAAAAAAAAAAAAACCCAAATGTAATAAAGAAAACTTATCTAAAATCCAGGCAGATAAAACAAATAGAAAAAAAGAATTAAAAAAACCCTCAAGAAAATGAATAAATATGCATGAAAATATTCAAAAGCTCAGATGTTTTCATTAGTCACCACAGGAGGGAAATATTAAATAGAAATAATAATAAAAAACCTTGAAAAGGCTTTAAGAAGGGAGTGTGTGGGGGGAGGACTATCACACCCTCTGCTCCCACTGCTGATACAAGGCTGATTTGTGGCCAAGGGTTTCCCCTCTAGCTCAGCCTCCCCTTGAGATTTAAACTGTGCGTGTTTAAAATGTGCAGACCTGCCTCAAAACTAACAAAATATCCCCTCCATCTGATTTTTTCCCCTTGCATTCAAATCGTAGCAGCACAGGAAAATAAAGAGGAGTGCTAATCTATCCTACAGTTTCCCGAGCAAGGACTCTGGGCAAGGGTTTTGTGAGTGGATTTGACAGATGTACAAGCAGATGGTGAGGGACACTCCCTGAGAGCAGCCGATTCCCAGGCCTCCATGTCCAAAAAAATATCTTTTCACGGATAATGTGATTTTCAGAGGGAAGAGACACAGTACTCGCACCAAAACTTCTCGTCAATTTCTCGAAGGCACAAGGGTTGTGTGGAAGCGCCTGCCTTCAGAAAAGAGCTGGCTGGGGCCGATGAGCCACACAGGGCTCGACCTGACCCTCGCAAAACCCGAATCTGCAGCTCCGTCTTGCGAGCTCCTCCACGGCTGCATGGCTACAGCTGGCATCCCGGGGTCGGGATCACCTCGTATTTGCATTGGGTGTGACATATTAGCCCTGTTTGGCCTCTGCCAGAACGCGCTGTGCAAAATAACACATCCCGCGCGGCGTCCGCTTAACGCGCGTGTTTCTGCGCGGCCCACGCGCTGAGGGGCATCGTGCCAGAGCAGGGCTGGTGTCCTGCTAAATCCCTCTAAAGTGCCTGGTGAACCCCGATTATGGAGCCAACGGGGCTGGGGACTTGACACAAAGAGGTGCTTTTCTGATCCAGCGGGGTGTGAGCCAGGAGAACTGGGTTTTGTGATTTATCCTACAATGCTGGCATGTTTTTAGCAGCAAATTAGCTGCAGCTCCCCCATTTCTTCGGAGAGGGATCCGTGTCGGACCTTGCTGCTGCCTTCAGTTTGCCTGGTGATTTATCATTCGTACCTTTAATTACACAGTGGACAGGACC